AGGAAGAGGAGAAGAAGAGGAAGGGAAGAGGAGAAGAAGAGGAAGGGAAGAGGAGAAGAAGAGGAAGGAAGAGGAGAAGAAGAGGAAGGGAAAGAGGAGAAGAAAGGGAAGAAGGGAAGAGAGAAGAAGAGAAAGAAGGGAAGATGAGAAGAAGAGAAAGAAGGGAAGATGAGAAGAAGAGAAAGAAGGGAAGAAAGAGGGAGAGGGAAGGGAAGAGAGGGAAGGGAAGAGGAGAAGAAGAAGGGGATAGGAAGAGACAGCGCAAGCCCCCCTTCCATGACATCAACACCGATGCCAGCAGAGGCATTGCTGCAATCCACTGCCACACACCAGGTCCAGTACCGCCATCTTCTTTATGTACATCATCAGGGAAGGTGCAGTCCTGTCTCTTCCAGGTTCTTGCTGAAAGACGAACTGCAGGATGTGTGACTATGTATTTTGAGGATAACCTGGGAAACCAAGCAGGAGGGGATTACAAATATTACATGGGGGAAGGGAGGAGCGTGATATGTGATTAGAATCTGACAGATGAATGGGACAGGTGAATATCAGAGGGTGGGGCTAGGAGGAGAATCTGTCAGTTTGCCTTGAATGGGCAACAAAGTGACAGATTCTCTTTAATATGACCCCCTGTACCACCTGACCTGATCGCTGCTCCATCCCTCCATTGCAGGTACCTGGGAAGTCAAACCTGGAAATAATGGGCATTGTCCAGGGGAATATCTTCCAAGCCAGGCCCACCTGTCACCTCTGCCTACAGATCAGATCATCAGGCATCACTGGGCCTGTCCTACACTCCTCCTGCCCCCATCTGTTACTAAGGTAACCAACAGCACCTGATCCCTGCAGGCCTCTGCCCATGTCTGGGTGATGGTTCCTCCCCTCTGGCCCGGTCGGCAGCCGATCACTGTAACTCTCAGGTCCTCCTGGACAACCTGGTTTCGCTGGCAAACCTCAAGCTCTAAGCCCAGATCCGAACCAAAGCCTTGGAGCGCAACCGGAAGTCCAACGTGGAACGCAGCGTCCGTCACTTCCTTCCTTTGCACGTAACGTAAAGGGAGAGGGGGCAACGTTAGCAGGCGAAAACGAGGCTTGGAACGCAGGGAGCCGGAAGTGGAAGGCGGCAGCCGGCTACAGGCAGGAGAAGAAGGTGAGCCGTGACCTCGGAGCCTTCCTTGTTCTGTGTCTCGCCCGTTCCCTCACCCTCCCTGTCTCTCTGATCATAATTATAATAATATTCAAATCTCTGACTGTTAGAAATAGCCTGCTTTATTTCGGTGAATGGATGGGGGGTGGGGAGGGCATGTGTTTTAAAGGGGAACTCCACCTGTCCTGGGGGAGTTTCTTTTTTTCAGACTAGGCGGGACTTGCTCTGTGCAGTGTACCCGCCAGGGTCCAAATAGAAAGTGTAGTACTGCAATCCAGCATGCCGGCCGTGTCAGAGGCTTTGGAGGACATTAGCGCCCCCCCCCCGTCCGTCATGTGACCGTGTTCGCGGTGCGATTGTGATGCGAATTCCACGCCGCATCCGTGTGAACCCAGGCTAAGTGTCCACGGCGGCTCTATGATATTAAGGTGCAGCGACTGCGGCGCTCAGGGAAGGTGCGGGACTTCCTCTGCATACTCGTCAAACCGCAATTTGAGAACACCAGCCGTGTGATTCGGCGCATTATCATCCTGGTCAATGGCGCTGTCTTTGGGAAACAATGTCTGCACCATGGGGGGGGGGGCACATGGTTGGCCAATATGTGTACATGTGATGGCACAGTGGCTTAGTGGTTAGCACATCTGCCTTGCAGTAAATGGGTCATGGGTTCGATTCCCGACCATGGCGCCTCCTGCATGGAGTTTGCATGTTCTCCCTGTGCCTGCGTGGGTTTCCTCCGGGTACTCCGGTTTCCTCCCACACTCCAAAGACATGCTGGTAGGTGAATTGGATCCTGTCTAAATTGTCCCTAGTATGTGTATGTATGAATGTGAGTTAGGGACCTTAGATTGTACACCCCTTGAGGGTTAGGGACCTTAGATTGTACGCCCCTTGAGGGTTAGGGACTGATGTGAATGTACAATATATATGTAAAGTGCTGTGTACATTGATGGCGATATATAAGTACCTGAAATAAATAAACAGACACTGGCAGTGACTCCGCCTTTCAGGGTGATGATGTAGATTGGGGCAGCACAGTGGCTAAATGGTTAGCACTTCCGCCTGGCAGTACTCTGGTCCTTGGTTCAAATCCCAACCACGGCACCACCTGCCTGTAATTTGCATGTTCTCCCTGTGCCTGTGTGGGTTTCCTTTGGGTACTCCGGTTTCCTCCCACACTCCAAAGACATGCTGGTACGTTAATTGGCTCCTGTCTATATTGGCCCTAGTATATGAATGTAAGTAGGGGTACACCAAAATTTCAGTGGCCGATATGAAAAAAAAAAGCACCGATACAGGTGCCGAAAAAACCCCGCCCCTTGCTGCTGCCGCCCACCAACCGCCTCTGGGTGGTTCACACCCTTACCTGAGAAACCATCAAACGATCCCGGCGCTGGGCATAGAGATGAGTGAAGGAAAGATGGCCTCCACTCATCTATATGCCCTTGGAGGACCGGAGCGATATCTGTTCTGGCCATTTTTTTTTTTTTTTTTTTTTTTAATGCACTAGATCAATGCTTGTTTTTAATCTAATACTTTACATTGTAGAGGAGAGATGTGGGGGTCATATTTACCCAATATCTCTCCATAAAGAGGACCTGTCACTAATTATTCCTATCACAAGGAATGCATGTATTCCTTGTGATAAGAATAAAAGTGATTACATTTTTTTTAAAGGGACAGTGCAAAAAACGAAACAGAAACATATTAAATAAATAATAATCAAAAAAGTTTCAAGTGCCCCCGTCCCCCCACGTAGTGGTGAACGCATACGTAGGCCACTTTTAATGCAAAACATGTCGTCACTTTCACACCTGCAAATCATGTAGTGTTTCCATATTTTTCTCCATCCCCTGTATGTAATTGTTATATGTATGTTTGTAAAAGAAAAAGGAAGAAGAGAGGCGCCCTCTGAGTGCAGCATGACTGCACTCAGAGGGCGCCTCTCTTCTTCCTTTTTTCTTTTGTACACAGAGCTGGCTTACTCTGAAATGGCTGCTATCCGAAGTGGTTACTAGCCATGGACTTTATTGGGACTTATGGACATATAACACTGGACATTAGCCATTAGTGCGCTGAGATCTCTTTCTTATATACAGTCAGGCCCATAAATATTGGGACATCAAAACAATTCTAACATTTTTGGCTCTATACACCACCACAATAGATTTGAAATGAAACGAACAAGATGTGCTTTAACTGCAGACTGTCAGCTTTAATTTGAGGGTATTTACATCCAAACCAGGTGAACGGTGTAGGAATTACAACAGTTTGCATTTGTGCCTCCCACTTGTTAAGGGACCAAAAGTAATGGGACAATTGGCTTCTCAGCTGTTCCATGGCCAGGTGTGTGTTATTCCCTCATTATCCCAATTACAATGAGCAGATAAAAGGTCCAGAGTTCATTTCAAGTGTGCTATTTGCATTTGGAATCTGTTGCTGTCAACTCTCAAGATGAGATCCAAAGAGCTGTCACTATCAGTGAAGCAAGCCATCATTAGGCTGAAAAAACAAAACAAACCCATCAGAGAGATAGCAAAAACATTAGGCGTGGCCAAAACAACTGTTTGGAACATTCTTAAAAAGAAGGAACGCACTGGTGAGCTCAGCAACACCAAAAGACCAGGAAGACCACGGAAAACAACTGTGGTGGATGACCGAAGAATTCTTTCCCTGGTGAAGAAAACACCCTTCACAACAGTTGGCCAGATCAAGAACACTCTCCAGGAGGTAGGTGTATGTGTGTCAAAGTCAACAATCAAGAGAAGACTTCACCAGAGTGAATACAGAGGGTTCACCACAAGATGGAAACCATTGGTGAGCCTCAAACACAGGAAGGCCAGATTAGAGTTTGCCAAACGACATCTAAAAAAGCCTTCACAGTTCTGGAACAACATCCTATGGACAGATGAGACCGACATCAACTTGTACCAGAGTGATGGGAAGAGAAGAGTATGGAGAAGGAAAGGAACTGCTCATGATCCTAAGCATACCACCTCATCAATGAAGCATGGTGGTGGTAGTGTCATGGCGTGGGCATGTATGGCTGCCAATGGAACTGCTTCTCTTGTATTTATTGATGATGTGACTGCTGACAGAAGCAGCCGGATGAATTCTGAAGTGTTTCGGGAATATTATCTGCTCATATTCAGCCAAATGCTTCACAACTCATTGGACGCTTCACAGTGCAGATGGACAATGACCCAAAGCAGACTGCAAAAGCAACCAAAGAGTTTTTTAAGGGAAAGAAGTGGAATGTTATGCAATGGCCAAGTCAATCACCTGACCTGAATCCGATTGAGCATTTCACTTGCTGAAGACAAAACTGAAGGGAAAATGCCCCAAGAACAAGCAGGAACTGAAGACAGTTGCAGTAGAGGCCTGGCAGAGCATCACCAGGGATGAAACCCAGCGTCTGGTGATGTCTATGCGTTCCACACTTCAGGCTGTAATTGACTGCAAAGGATTTGCAACCAAGTATTAAAAAGTGAAAGTTTGATTTATGATTATTATTCTGTCCCATTACTTTTGGTCCCTTAACAAGTGGGAGGCACATATGCAAACTGTTGTAATTCCTACACCGTTCACCTGATTTGGATGTAAATACCCTCAAATTAAAGCTGACAGTCTGCAGTTAAAGCACATCTTGTTCGTTTCATTTCAAATCCATTGTGGTGGTGTATAGAGCCAAAAATGTTAGAATTGTGTCGGTGTCCCAATATTTATGGACCTGACTGTATGTATGTTTATAGACTTCCTTTTTTTTGTAGTTAATCTAATTAAAATAATTTTTTATTTTCCTGGCAGAATGCAGCGGTAACAGTCGTCACGGGTCCAGTCGCCCTCAGCAGAAATGCCATTTACAGACTTTTTAGCGGCCCTGAAAGACAATCCCTACTTCGGGGCTGGGTTTGGCCTGGTTGGTGTTGGTACGGCTCTGGCTTTGGCCCGGAAAAGTGCCCAGCTTGGCATGGTCGCCTTCAGGAGGCATTACATGATAACGCTTGAGGTGCCCAGCAAAGACAAGAGCTACCAATGGTTGTTGAGCTGGATCTCCCATCATGCTAAGCGGACGCAGCATCTGAGCGTTGAGACTTCATATCTACAGCACGAAAGTGGGAGAGTCAGCACCAAGTTTGACTTTGTCCCCAGTCCTGGGAACCACTTCATCTGGTAGGTACATCCTGGTCAGTGCTGTTGTGTGAAGGCGGACCTCTCAGTAACTTTACAAGTCTGCATGAATTAAAGTAGAACCATAAGCAAAACATTTTCTCATTTTGGATGGAGTAAGGGAGTCCTTTTTTTTTTTTTTTGCCATCTGTGTCCCGTTGGGGAGATTTCCATTCACTTCCTATCCCATAACCAAAATAGGAAGTGAGAGGAAATTCTTCCAAAGTGAGGGAATCACTGGGTGTAACCAGAACAAGTGTCCCCAGTGAAAAATTTCCCCCCTGTTCCTGTTTTTGGGGACAACTTGAAACTTGGGATCTACTGTTACCTTCAATGATAATAGTAAACAGGAGAAATAGTGAGGGTGAATCTTCTCAACAGGCATACAGATAGCAATAAAAACTGACAGGGGTTCTAATCCTCTCCACTTTATCCAAAACTAAAATTAAAATCTTGCCTTTAGTTATACTTCAAAGTGTTACTACACCCAGGACCCTGCATTCACTATATCCGGTCTCCCCAGATCCGCTCCCTGCATTCACTATATCTGGTCTCCCCAGACCCTGCATTCACTATATCTGGTCTCCCCAGACCCTGCATTCACTATATCTGGTCTCCCCGGACCCTGCATTCACTATATCCAGTCTCCCCGGACCCTGCATTCACTATATCCGCTCTCCCCGGACCCTGCATTCACTATATCCGCTCTCCCTGGACCCTGCATTCACTATATCTGGTCTCCCCGGACCCTGCATTCACTATATCCGCTCTCCCCGGACCCTGTATTCACTATATCTGATCTCCCCGGACCCTGCATTCACTATATCCGGTCTCCCTGGACCCTGCATTCACTATATCTGGTCTCCCCGGACCCTGCATTCACTATATCCGGCTCTCCCCGGACCCTGCATTCACTATATCTGATCTCCCCGGACCCTGCATTCACTATATCCGCTCTCCCCGGACCCTGCATTCACTATATCCGCTCTCCCCGGACCCTGCATTCACTATATCCGCTCTCCCCGGACCCTGCATTCACTATATCCGCTCTCCCCGGACCCTGCATTCACTATATCCGCTCTCCCCGGACCCTGTATTCACTATATCTGATCTCCCCGGACCCTGCATTCACTATATCCCCTCTCCATTCACAGTACAAACAACATGGAAATGTAATTATTTTAATAAATATAAATTGTTAAATACACTTTTCTCGTCAGCAATTAGAGCAGTCTTGTGATTTCTATCAGTGCCCAGCATTGCACTGGTTAAAGCATGCAGGAGGAGTTTTCATTCTCCTGTGACTCTCCAATGAGGCTGCATGACCCTTTGTCTGGACAGCGCTGATTGGCCCTGTGCTAACCACATGCACTCTCCCAAGTAAAAAAAAAAAAATTCTAGCAATACGCACCAAACTGATCATGTGCAGCTTTCCCCCAAGGCTCTGTTCTATCAGCAGATGGATTGGGGAAAGTAGAAGAAGGGGAGGATCAGAGAAGACAGAATCAAACAGTCTTTTTACACCAAGGATTAACCCCTTAGGTTCCACAGTGAGTATAACAAGCATGCCTTACTGCATATACAGACTGATTGTACTGTTGTGGGTTCAGTAACACATTAAGTCCTGTCAGTTGAACTACAGGCAAAACTTATAACCGGTTATAACTCCTGTCAGTTTGTCAGTTTTTTTTTTTTGCCATCTGTGTCCCATTGGGGAGATTTACCTTCACTTCCTGTTCCATAGCCAAAACAGGAAGTGAGAAAATCTCCTTGGGGTCCCCCAGGTCACCAGAACTAGTGTCCCCAGTGGAAGATTTCCCCTCTATTACTTTTCTGGAGACAACCCAAAACTTGGGATTTTCTTTTACATTCACATGCAATGATAATGGTAAACAGGACAAATAGAGAGGGTGACTCTTCCTAATGGGGACACAGACAGCAATAAGAACAGGTGTTGTAATCCTTCTCCACTCTATCCAAAAGGTTAAAAAAAAATAAAAAGTTTTGCCTTTCGTTACACTTTAATTCTTGAGCTCCCGTCCAGTGACTTTGCCTAGGCTGAGAGGATGCCATCAGTCTGCTGCAGGCAGGAGGAGGCATTTCCTCCGTCTCCTCTCCCCCCAGTGATCCGACTGCAACGTTGTAACTTTGTAGCAAGTCACAAGGTGAGAGGCTGCAGCAGGGGGCTGATCTGTGTCAGACATTTGTGAACTCGGCCAAGAACTTCGGAGGATAAATAAAAATAAGTAACTGGATATACATTTTTCAAAGAGTCAGCAGCATTATCACCGGGCACACATGCTTCCGTTTGGTAGTACTCCACAGATTGGATGCACCTCACCTTACTTTTTTGAGTGAAGGTACACAGTTTGATATTTCATCAGTTCAGATCAGATCATTAACCTACCTGGGGATATTTCTCTTTTTTTTTTTTTTTTTTGTTGTTCTTCCTGCCACTTCCAGGTACAAAAATAAATGGATTCGCATTGAGAGGAACCGAGAGAAGCAGATGATTGACCTGCACACAGGTACACCATGGGAGTCCGTCACCTTCACCGCTATAGGGACCAATCGTGATATCTTCTTCAACATTCTGCAGGAAGGTAGGCCTTGACTCACAGGATGGGCTTTTAGGGTCGGTTCACACCACACCCCCCCGACATGAATCACACAGGAGGGCGCTGTGCGTTCTGGTGCAATTCATCTGCAGCTCTGTGCAGTGCGATTTCAAGCCCATTTGTTTGAGTGGACTGAAATCGCACCGCCCCAAAAGTAGCGCATGCACCACTGTTTGAAACGCACAGCAACAGCATCGTATGGTACTTTCTCCCATGCAATTTGGTGCATTCAATCGTAATACGTTTGGGGTGTTGTTAGCTTTTAACTGACCCCCGCAGCAGATCGGAATGCGGTGCTGGAATCCGCACAGGACTGCAACTCTCCGCACCGTATTCTAGTGTGAACGAGCACTTAAAGCAGAGCACCACCCAAAAGGGGAAGTTCTGCTTTAACCACTTGCCGTCCGCCTGCTGTTTATAAACGGCAGGACGGTGGCACTCCAGGGGCGGGTTGCCGTTCATAAACGGCACCCGCATTTTCAAGCTGTGCGCGCTCCCTGCGGTCACAGTGGAACACCGATCATCGTACGGGACCTCTATGTGAGGTCCCAATCATGTGATCACTGATTGGCCAATCAGTGATCACATGCAAAGTAGTAAGCAAGATGTCACTTCTGACATCATTGCTTACTACGTGTGATATCTGTGAATGATCACAGAGATCACATGGTACAGGGCTATTCACAACAGCCTTGTACCATGTGACAAGCTGTGACCAATCACAGCTCTCACAGTATTTCTCAATGGCTGCAAGAATGCACACAGAGAGGAGAAATCCTTAAGGAGAAATGATTGCTTTTACATCCTTAATGGGTGTAAAAGAAAAAAAAAAAAATCTTCATCACCCCCCCACAAGTAGTACAGTGTCACCGTGGTGACACTGTACTGCTAGGGTGACAGTATGTAAAAAAAAAAAAAAAAACATAAATACTAATATAAAAAAATAAAATAAAAATGTTTTAAAAATTATAATTTTTGGTTATGAACTAATTTGGGTTATTTTATTTTTTTTACTAAAAAGATAACCGAATAAATTTTGGCCAAGATTTATGATGAAATATTATTTATTTGCAAAAGTTTATAAGAAAAACACTTTTTTTCAAAATTTTTAGACTTTTTCATTTATATAGCAAAAAAAATAAAAATCCCAGTGGTGAATAAATACCTCTAAATTAAAGCTTTATCTGCCTCAAAAAAATTAATAACGGTACAGTGTTGGTATCAGTGAGAGGAATAGTGCACGATCATTGGTGTCATTGGGAGATATGGTGCCCTGTCGTTGGAATCAATGGGAAGAATAGTGCCCAATTGTTGGGGTCAGTGGGAGAAATAGTGCCTTATTGTTGGTGTCATTAAATGGAATGGTGCCCCATCATTGGTGTCAGTGGGAGGAATAGTGCCCCATCATTGGTGTCAGTGGGAAGAATAGTGCCCCGTCATTGGTGTCATTAGGAGGAATAGTGCCCCATCATTGGTGTCATTAGGAGAATAGTGCCCCATCGTTGGTGTCAGTAGGTAGGAATAGTGCCCCATTGTTGGTGTCAGTGGTAGGAATAGTGCCCCATTGTTGGTGTCAGTGGTAGGAATAGTGCCCCATTGTTGGTGTCAGTGGTAGGAATAGTGCCCCATTGTTGGTGTCAGTGGTAGGAATAGTGCCCCATTGTTGGTGTCAGTGGTAGGAATAGTGCCCCATTGTTGGTATCAGTGGGAGGAATAGTGCCCCATCGTTGGTATCAGTGGGTGGAATAGTGCCCCATCGTTGGTGTCAGTAGGTGGAATAGTGCCCCATCGTTGGTGTGTCAGTGGGAGGAATAGTGCCCCATCGTTGGTATCAGTGGGAGGAATAGTGCCCCATCGTTGGTGTCAGTGGTAGGAACGGTTCCCCATCTTTGGTGTCAGTGGAAGGAATAGTGCCCCATTTTCAGTTTCAGTGGAAGAAATAGTGCTCTACTCTAAAGGCACAGGAAGTGCACATTTTTTGGGGGAAATTTAAGATAAATAATAGACTTTTTAGTGTACTCCATAAGCACAATTAACATTTCTCGAAGTTCTAGAGGTTAGCTTTAAAGCAAACCATTCTTAGTTGTTTTGACAATCATGCAATAATGATCCTACTTGGATCCCTAGTTACTAAAATTGTGTTTATTGGTTTTTTTTTTGTAATCCCTGACAGCGAGAGAACTGGCACTGCGACAGCAAGAAGGCAAGACCGTCATGTACACAGCCATGGGCGCGGACTGGCGGCCGTTTGGGTTTCCGCGTCGAAGAAGGCCAATAACCTCTGTAGTGCTGGAGGAAGGAATTTCTGATAAGATTGTTCAGGATGTGAAAGGATTCATCAACAACCCCAAGTGGTATATAGACCGAGGCAAGAGCAAACCCAAACGTTTCTGCATCTGGTTTTTCTTTTTTTGAAATGGGAAGAGGGAAAACACTGCCAGGTTGTGTTTTTTTTTTTTGGGGGGGGGGGGGGGGGGGTTTTGTGCTTCACTTTGAAGATTCCCTCACTTCTTATCTGTGTGACACAAAAGAGAATTAACCACTTCCCGTCCGTCCATTGCATATAAACGGCCAGATGGTGGCAGTGGAGGGTCAGGTGGCCGTTTATAAACAGTTTCCCCACCCCCTGCTGCGAGCTCCCTGGGGAGCTCGCAGCACCGCGATCCGGTGCCCGTTGTGCCCTCTGGACACAGTGGAACATCGATCGTCATACGGGACCTCTGTCCGAGGTCCTGATCATGTGTTCACTGATTGGCCAATAAGTGATCACATGCAGAGTAGTAAGCAAGATGTCACTTGTGACATCATTGCTTACTACGTGTGAAATCTGTGAATGATCACAGAGGTCACATGGTACAAGGCTATTCACAACAGCCTTGTACCATGTGACAAGCTGTGACCAATCACAGCTCTCACAGTATTTCTCAATGGCTGCAGGAATGCAGCCAGAGAGGAGAAATGATTGCTTTTACATCCTTTATGGGTGTAAAAGCAATCAGTGTAAAAAAGAAAAAAAAGAAAAAAAAAAAATCTTCATCACCCCCTACAAGTAGTACAGTGTCACCATGGTGACTCTGTACTGCTAGGGTGACCGTATGTAAAAAAAAAAAAAAAAATACTAATATAAAAAAATAAAATAAAAATGTTTTAAAAATTATAATTTTTTGGTTATGAACTAATTTGGGTTATTTTTTTTTTTTTTTATACTAAAAAGATAACTGAATAATTTTTTGGCCAGGATTTATGATGAAATATTATTTATTTGCAAAGTTTTATAAGAAAAAAAACACTTTTTTTCAACATTTTTGTACATTTTCATTTTTATAGCAAAAAAAAAATAAAAATCCCGGTGGTGAATGAATACCACCAAAATAAAGCTTTATCTGTCTCAAAAAAATGCTATAAAATTCATATGGGTGCAGTGTTGCATGACCGCGCAATTGTCATTCAAAGTGTGATATCACTGAAAGCTGAAAATTGGCCTGGACAGGAAGGGGGTAAAAGTGTCCGGACTGGAAGTGGTTAAATAAACCAAATCTCTTTAAAGGCCTCAATCACACACACATACAAGTTTGTACTCCCAATGCGAAGGGCCGTTTTTGCCCGCAGGGGATACACAGGTGCTCCCCGCAGGCAGCTTGTTCAAATAAAAGACAGATTTTGCCTGGAGGCTGTATGGACCGGCACGGATCTCCATGCATATCTCAGAGTATGCGTCTGTTCAGATCAGAGCTTGATCTGCAGATTGATGCAGCCTGCCGCCTGTCATTGATTTGAATAGGCTGCCTGTGCAGGATTACACGGGTCGCCTGTGCGTCCCACATGCATAAAAATGGCTCTTCACATGTGTGTATGGATTGGTGTCCCAAGGGGAAGATTTCACCCTCACCTCCTGTCCTGGTGATATTTGTCAAATTTTGGATTTCTCATCACTTTTTTTTTGTCTTGATAAAAACGCTCACCAGGACAAATCTCCTGCTAGTGGGGGGCGCACAGGTAGCATTAAAAGCCTTGCGAGTTCTTACTCTCCTATATTTTATCCAAAACTAAGAAAAATATAAGATTTTGCCTAGAGATACACTTTGGAAAAGTCTTTGATGAGCTTGGAATTTTTCTTTAAAACGATTCTAAAGGTTCATATTTTTGTTGGGAGGGAAAATAACAAACATGTCTATACTTACCTGCTGTGTACAGAACAGCCTGGATCCTGATATTCTTGGGTCCCTGCAGGTTGTCCTGGCTCCTCCCTCCTGTCGGGTTCCCCCACAGCAAGCAGCTTGCTATGGGGCACCCGCTGCTCTGTGTGTCCCATTCACACATGGAGCCACAACTTTGCCCCACCCTCTCTCTCTCCTCATCGGCTGACTGGCTGTTATTGACAGCAGCAGGAGCCAATGAGGAGGTAGAGACCCGGGACAGCTGAGGCTGTTGCTCACATTGCTGGATCTTGATGAGGCTCAGGTAAGTATTGAGGGGGCTGGGGGCACTGCTGCACACAGAAGGTTTTTTACCTTCATGCATAAAGGTAAAAAACCTTGAGCCTTTACAACCACTTTAACCGCCTCCCACCTGCCATATAAGGAAATGATGGGCGGGTGGCGGTTCTCTTGTTTTGGGAGGACGTCATATGACGTTCTCCCACTCTGACCGTGCGTGCGCGCCCCCGGGGGGCACTCAGCGTGGCAATCGGTGATGCGCTGTGTCCCTGGGACACAGCGGATCAGTGGAAAGAACCGATGACTTTGGCTCAGTCATGTGATCAGCTGTGTCCAATCACAGCTGATCGCATGTAAATAAGGAAATGCCGGTTATCGGCATTCCTCTCCTCACGAGCTGTCACGCTGACAGAGGAGAGGAGAGCCAGTAATCGGCATTCCTCAGAGGGGACATCTACACTGCTCATCAGTGCCCTGATGATCAGTGTATCCTCATCAGTGCCACCCATCAGTGTCCATCAATGCCACCTGCCAGTGCCAGCTCAATGCCACATATCAGTGCCTACCAGTGCACATCAATGCCACATATCAGTGCCCATCTGAGCGGCCTTTCAGTGCCACCTATCAGTGCTGCCAGTCAGTGCCGCCTGTCAGTCCGCCTAACAGTGCCAGTCCGTGTCACCTATCAGTGCTGCCTATCAGTGCCATATATGAATTCTGCCTTTCAGTGATGCCTGTCAATGCCCATCAGTGCCTCCTCATCAGTGCAGCCTATCAGTGCCCATCACTGCAGCCTCATTAGCGCACATCAGTGAAGGAGAAAAATTACTTATTTAAAAAATTTTATAACAGAAACTAAGAAATAAAATGTTTTTTTCAAACTTTTCAGTTTTTTTTTGGTTTGTTTAACAAAACATTAAAAACCCAGAGTTGATTAAATACCACCAAAATAAAGCTCTATCTGTCTCAAAAATATGATAAAAATGTCATATGGGTACAGTGTTGCATGACCGCGCAATTGTCATTCAAAGTGCGACAATTGACCTGGGCAGGAAGTGGTTAAAGTTTCTAATACCAGAGCTGTTGAGCCATCATCATCTCTGTTTCGGGGGGGGGGGGGGGCTGTTAATATGCAAAAAAAAAAAAAATTGTCAGTGAGTTGCAGCCCTGCTGTATTTCTATTTCTATGCCCCCACTGACTGACAGCTATAAAGTGCTGACTACGAAGTTGGGCTACAAGCCGCTCCTCATTTGCTACTCTGAATTGGAGTGCCGTGGGGTGGGGGGAGGGGTAAGGGGGACCACAGTTTAGGCATCACTAATAGACTCTTTCACAATCTCTTCTCAGTTACATTTGAACGTTACCTTTTTTTTTTTTTTTTTTTTTAAATCCAGGAATACCCTACAGAAGGGGCTACCTGCTCTACGGACCTCCGGGTGTGGGAAAAGCAGCTTTATGTAAGTATCACTTGAAGGACAATAATCAGAAGGACAGCTCAACAAAATAATAAAATAACATCTTTCTACATTAAACAATATGGTTCTGGGTATGTACAAGCCCATAGATTGAAGAGAGGGAGGGACTATAGATTGGAGAGAGGGAGGGACTATAGATTGGAGAGAGGGAGGGGCTATAGATTGGAGAGAGGGAGGGACTATAGATTGGAGAGAGGGAGGGGCTATAGATTGGAGAGAGGGAGGGGCTATAGATTGGAGAGAGGGAGGGGCTATAGATTGGAGAGAGGGAGGGACTATAGATTGGAGAGAGGGAGGGACTATAGATTGGAGAGAGGGAGGGACTATAGATTGGAGAGAGGGAGGGACTATAGATTGGAGAGAGGGAGGGGCTATAGATTGGAGAGAGGGAGGGACTATAGATTGGAGAGAGGGGGAGGGACTATAGATTGGAGGGAGGGACTATAGATTGGCGAGAGGGAGGGACTATAGATTGGAGAGAGGGAGGGACTATAGATTGGAGAGAGAGAGGTACTATAGATTGGAGGGAGGTACTATAGATCGGTGTTTTTTAACCTTTTTTCAGTCAAGGCACCCTTTAAATTTCTGCACAATCTTGAGGCACCCATTTAAAAATGTAAAAAAACCCCGAAACAAATAGTTTTACAGAATGCAGCATTCTCTGCACACGTAGGACACCCAACATTAGAGGGGATTTATTCTTTCAAAGCAAATACACTTTTGCACACTGGTACTGACTAGTGTTCCCATGTTTCTCTTCTCCCTCCGTTTCTCACTCACTCAGCTAGTGTGACCCCCAGTGCTGAGTGGGAGGGGCAAGCAAGGATGCTGTGAGGGTGCCTGATGTCCTTCTTATCAAATGATGATATCATTGGAGAGGTCGCCGTACTAACTAGGTGATGTTAGTGTGGTGATATTCCCTGTTGAGCTATTGTGTTTTGACAGTGGGACTGTCCCGCAAGCCCCCCTCCTTCCCCAGCCCACACTGATCGGCGCTCACGGCCACTGATCTACACTGATCATTTTAACTGCTGTCACCTGAACAGGTGTCCATGGTGGAAGATTCCCCCTTTGTTCAAATTCTAGTGCCATAACGTTGCATTTCCCACTTTCTGTCGCTAACATGGCTCACCAGAAAAAAATAGTGAGCGTGAATCTCCCCAGTGGAGACAGACGGCTAGAAAAACAGGGGTTCTAACACTTTTACACTCCGTCCAGAACTGAAATAAAATGGTCAGTTTAACCTCTTGTCAGCCATGTAATGCATAGGTCACATCATCGCCCACACTCTGCACATTACTATGATTATTAGACAGGATTTACAGTGGGGCAAAAAAGTATTTAGTCAGCCACCAATTGTGCAAGTTCTCCCACTTACAAAGATGAGAGAGGCCTGTAATTGGCATCATAGGGAGACCTCAACTATGAGAGACAAAATGAGAAAAACAAATCCAGACAATCACATTGGCTGATCTGGAAAGAATTTATTTGCAAATTATGGTGGAAAATAAGTATTTGGTCAATATGAAAAGTTTATCTCAATACTTTGTTATATATCCTTTGTTGGCAATGACAGAGGTCAGACGTTTCCTGGAAGTCTTCATAAGGTTGGCACACACTGTTGCTGGTATGTTGGCCCATCCTCCATGCAGATCTCCTCCTCCATGCAGATCTCCTCTAGAGCAGTGATGTTTTGGGGCTGTCGCTGGGCAACACAGACTTTCAACTCCCTCCAAAGGTTTTCTATGGGGTTGAGATCTGGAGACTGGCTAGTCCACTCCAGGACCTTGAAATGCTTTTTACGAAGCCACTCCTTCGTTGCCCGGGCGGTATGTTTGGGATCATTGTCATGTTGGAAGACCCAGCCACGTTTCATCTTCAATGCCCTTGCTGATGGAAGGAGGTTTGCACTCAAAATTTCACGATACATGGCCCCATTCATTCTGTCCTGTACATGGATCAGTCATCCTGGTCCCTTTGCGGAGAAAACAGCCCCAAAGCATGATGATGCCACCCCCATGCTTCACAGTAGGTATGGTGTTCTTTGGATGCAACTCAGCATTCTCTCTCCTCCAAACACGACGAGTTGTGTTTCTACCAAACAGTTCTATTTTGGTTTCATCTGACCATATGACATTCTCCCAATCCTCTTCTGGATCATCCAAATGCTCTCTAGCAAACTTCAGACGGCCCGGACATGTACTGGCTTAAGCAGGGGGACACGTCTGGCACTGCAGGATCTGAGTCCCTGGCGGCGTAGTGTGTTTACTGATGGTAGCCTTTGTTACGTTGGCCCCAGCTCTCTGCAGGTCATTCACTAGGCCCCCCCGTGTGGTCCTGGGATTTTTGCTCACTGTTCTTGTGATCATTTTGACCTCACGGGGTGAGATCTTGCGTGGAGCCCCAGATCGAGGGAGATTATCAGTGGTCTTGTATGTCTTCCATTTTCTAATTATTGCTCCCACAGTTGATTTGTTCACACCAAGCTGCTTGCCTGTTGCAGATTCAGTCTTCCCAGCCTGGTGCAGGTCTACAATTTTGTTTCTGGTGTCCTTCGACAGCTCTTTGGTCTTCACCATAGTGGAGTTTGGAGTGTGACTGTTTGAGGTTGTGGACAGGTGTCTTTTATACTGATAACAAGTTCAAACAGGTGCCATTGATACAGGTAATGAGTGCAGGACAGAGGAGCCTCTTAAAGAAGAAGGTACAGGTCTGTGAGGTCCAGAAATCTTGCTTGTTTGTAGGTGACCAAATACTTATTTTCCACCATAATTTGCAAATAAATTCTTTCCAAATCAGCCAATGTGATTGTCTGGATTTTATTTCTCATTTTGTCTCTCATAGTTGAGGTCTACCTATGATGCCAATTACAGGCCTCTCTCATCTTTTTAAGTGGGAGAACTTGCACATTGGTGGCTGACTAAATACTTTTTTGCACCACTGCGCCAACAGTTTGCTCAGCGCTTTACAATATAATGGGAGCCAATACAGCAACAATACCCTGATCCTCGGAGCTCACAATCTAGGAGGGAGGGGCTAGTGGTACAAAAGGTAGTAACTGTGGGGGATGGACTGGTTGGAAGAGTAGAAGATTCCATTATTAGCTGAGGGCAGGATAGGATTCCCTGAAGAGATGCACAAAGATTATATTGCCAAAAGTATTGGTCGACCTGCCTGTACACGCACATGAACATTAATGGCCTTGCAGTCTTAGTCCGTAGGGTTCAATATTGAGTTGGCTCCGCCCTTTGCAGCTATAACAGCTTCAACTCTTCTGGGAAGGCCGTCCACAAGGTTTAGGAGGGTGTCTATAGGAAGGTTGGACCATTCTTCCAGAAGCACATTTGTGAGGTCAGGCACTGATGTCGGACGAGGCCAAGCACACACACGCACATTGGCTTGCCAGACAGAGAAGCGTAATTGGTCACACTAGAGAACACGTCTCCATGCTCTAGAGTCCAGTGGCGGCATGCTTTACACCACTGCATCCGATGCTTTGCATTGCGCTTGGTGATGTAAGGCTTGGATGCAGCTGCTCGGCCATGGAAATCCATTCCATGAAGCTCTCTACGCCTTGTTGTTGGGCTCATCTGAAGACCACACCAAGTTTGGAGGTCTTTAGCTATTGACTCTGCAGACAGTTGGTGACTTCTGCGCACTGTGCGCTTCAACATGCGCTGACCCCGCCCTTTCATGTGACGTGGCCTACCACTGGTGGCTGAGTGGCTGTTGTTCCCAGTTGCTTCCACTTTGTTATAATCCCACTAACAGTTGAGCGTGGAATATTTAGTAGCCAGGAAATGTCACGGATGGATTTATTGCACAGGTGACAACCTATCACGGGACCACGCTTGGAGTCACTGAGCTCCTGAGAGCGACCCATTCTTTCACCAATGTTTGTAGAAGCAGTCTGCATGCCTAGGGGCTTGATTGTATACACCTGTGTCCATGGAGGGGATTGGAACACCTGAATCACATGATTTGGAGGGCCGGCCCAATACTTTTGGCAATATAGTGTATGTGATTAAAATTTCCCATTCATTATTGACACCCGGTCACATCGGGTGTGACCTGGCATGCGATTTGCATGCCCTGCGACTTGCAAATTGTATGCCAAGTCGCACCCTAGTGTCCGCTATCAGAACTGTCATATTGGCATGGTTCTGACTTGGTCGGAGCTGCACCGATTTCTAAAGTCGTACATGCACTATTTTTGGTGTGATTTACATAGACATCTTTGTCAAATCACAACTGAAATCAGCAGGTCACCCGATTTTGAAATCGTGCGACTTCACTGTAAGTCGCACGATTTCAAAATCAGCTTTGATGTGACCGGGGGCTTACAGAAAAACTGACTGTCTTTTTTCATCACTGATATTGTACTTTCTGTGTGTGCTTTCAGCACGGCGCTGGCAGGAGAGCTGGAGTACAGCATCTGTCTGATGAGCCTTAGTGACAACAGCCTCTCCGATGACCGCCTCAACCACCTGCTGAGTGTGGCCCCGCAACAGAGCATTATTCTGCTGGAGGATGTGGACGCTGCTTTCGTAAGCCGTGATCTGGCCAAGCAGAGTGAGTTTTCAGTTTTCATCCATTTGTGTCTCTATAGGCCCTCGACTTCTACTGTGATTATTGAATTTTATGTTTTTGAGGAAGTAAGGGTGAAATCCCCCCCCCCCCCCCAGTAGAGATAGAAGTAACACCTGAAGCGCCGTCAATTTACGCAGCACTTTACATATATATATTATGTTCACATCAGTCCCTAACCCTCAAGGGGCGTACAATCTAAGGTCCCTAACTGTTTTCATGTGACAACACTGAAGAAATTACACTTTGCTACAGTTATTATTATTTCAGGTACTTATATATCGTTGTCAATTTACGCAGCACTTTACATATATATTGTACATTCACATCAGTCCCTAACCCTCAAGGGGCGTACAATCTAAGGTCCCTAACCCTCAAGGGGCGTAATCTAAGGTCCCTAACTCACATTCATACATACACATACTAGGGACAATTTAGACAGGAGCCAATTAACCTACCAGCATATCTTTGAAATGTGGGAGGAAACTGGAGTACCTGGAGGAAACCCACGCAGGCACAGGGAGAACATGCAAACTCCAGACAGGTGGCGCCGTGGTTGGGATTTGAACCAACAACCCGAGTACTGCCAGGCGGAAGTGTTAATCATTTAGCCACTGTGCTGCCCACAGGTTAAAGACTTCCTGTGTGTTTCAATGGATGATTTAATGGTGAGTACAAAAATTCTAATTTCTGAACATATGATTATTTTGGCAGAAGTTCTGACCAATTGCGATGCAAGCTTTTGTATGAAAAAAAAACCAAAGTGTTTTTTATTAAATAGTTGTCAGCAAGTCTGGCAGGTAGTCTTGTGTCTATGATTCTCCATATACCTTACGATTATCTTCCTTTCTACAGATCCAACTGCCTATCAGGGTATGGGACGCCTGACCTTCAGTGGTCTGCTAAACGCCCTGGATGGGGTGGCCTCTACTGAAGCTCGAATTGTTTTCATGACTACAAATCACATTGACAGGTACGGTGGATTGTTTTTAGTGCAGTACTTAAAAACAAAAAAAAAAAACTTAGAGTGCTAAAAAATTATTAGCACATTTTTTTTTTTTAGTACAGTACTTAAAGTGACACTAAACCCAATTTTTTTAAAACATAAATTGTTCTTTTTTTCTATTTAAAAAAAAAAAAAGGTCTCTTACCATTTTGTCTTCATGGTTCTTTTTGTCCTGAGCATGCTCCTTATCCTCCACTGATGCAACTCACCACTACTAGTGTGAGTAATGCCTGTTATTTTTGGTCATGTGATTGGCTCTATGCCGAGGCAGGTGCAGGGGGTGCGGCCTGGGTGACACCGACCGCACAGGGTGACACCGGAACCGCTCCACATAAAGGTAAGTTGTAAAGCAAGCCAACGATCCCCTGTGGGGATTGTCGACTTTCTTTACAACTTACCTTTTCATGGAGCAGGTCCGGTGTCACCCCGTATAGGTTGCATGCCGACGATCCCCGCAGGATGGATCGTAGGCATGCAACCTATACAGGGTGACGCCGGATCCGCTCCACGTAAAGGTAAGTTGTAAAGAAAGCCAACGATCCCCGCAGGATGGATCGGACCTGCAGATTGAGCATAATGGATCGGAGTCCGATCCATTATGCTCAATCCGCAGATCAGATCCATTCTGTGAGGATCGTCGGAAGGGGTGTCACCAAGTAGTTACCACACCGGGTGACACCAACCCTAGGGACGCCCCTGGCTCTATGCGTACTACAGTTCCCATAGAGCTGAATGTGTTTGCACAGTGATGTGTAGTCCATCTCAGGGGAGAGCAGGAAAGGGTGGCTACGTTCACATACACAAGGGGGCATGGAGAACAAGCGTAGCCAGACATATCCTCTGTATTTGCCCTGTTTATCATTGTCATCAAAAGTGAAAGTAGAAGAAAATCCCAAAATTTGGGTTGTCTTCAGAACAGTAATAGAGGGAAAATCTCCAAGTGATGGTGCTAATTCTGGTTACCCCAGAGGCCCCCAAGGGATTCCTTAATTTGCAGGGATTTTCTCTCACTTCTATTTGTGTCTATGGGACAGGAAGTGAAGGTAAATCTCCGCAATGGGACACAGATGGCAAAAAAAAAAGAAGCTGACAGGGGCTATAACCCTCCCTTACTGTATCCAAAATAGGAAAAAAAGTTTTGCCTATAGTTCTACCGTAAGTTAACAAAAAAAGCAAGTTGTACATGGGGGCTTCAGTCTGTGGAAGGGCAGGGTGTACAGCAAGCTTTTAAAACGTATTTGCTGAGCTTTCATCCACCTTCAAGTAGCTTTTGTGAAGCCTTTTATTATTATTATACAGGATTTATATTATTATTATTATTATTATTATAATACAGGATTTATATATTATTATTATACAGGATTTATATTATTATTATTATTATACAGGATTTATATTATTATTATTATTATTATACAGGATTTATATTATTATTATTATTATACAGGATTTATATATTATTATTATACAGGATTTATATCGCGCCAACAGTTTGCTCAGCACTGTACAATATAATGGGAGACAATACAGCAACAATACAGTTCAATACAAGAGGGATAGGAGGGCCCTGATCCTTGGAGCTTACAATCTAGGAGGGAGGAGCTAGTGGTACAAAAGTTAATAACTGAGGGGGATGGACTGGTAGGAGGAATAGAAGATTACGTTTTTTTTCCCTGCAGGAGCAAATTGAATCATGCTTTCCTGGGTTTTTTTTTGCCTTCCTCTGGATCAACTGTGGGTAAAGGATTATAACTTTTTTTTTTTTTTTTTTTTCTATGGTTGAACTGGATGGACTTAAGTCTTTTTTCAGCCAGACTAACTATGTAACATTTAGCTGAATGCAGGATTTGCTTCCCTGAAGAGATAGGTTTTCAGAGATCGCCTAAAAATGAGCAGAGTAGGCGATAGTCTGATTGGGCTAGAGAGTTCCAGAGGATGGGGGGGGAGGGGCTCTGGAGAAGTCCTGGAGACAAGCATGCTCTTTTATAGTAAGTTTCAGTGCCAGTTGGGGATGTGAAAGTTGAACTCTAGGTAGATATGAAAAACACAAATTAATGTTGCTCTATATTCATCAAAGACCTGTTCTCATCGTTGCACCGTAACATGCATTTTGGTGCAGCGTGGTGCCGTTCATTCTAAATGGCACCCCAATATACTTTGCTTACAAGTGTGCGCTGTATTGCAGCAGAACAGACACTGCCAGAAATTCCACATATGCCTTTTGTGATGTATTACACAACCCCACCAATTGAATGGGCTGCCTTGAAACAGTTGTAAAGCCTAAACTTTTTTTTACCTTAAAACAGAACTCCGGGCAAAAACTTATTTTATTTATTTCAGGTACTTATATAGTGCTGTCAATTTACACAGCACTTTACATATATATTGTACTTTCACATCAGTCCCTAACCCTCAAGGGGTGTACAATCTAAGGTCCCTAACTTACATTCATACATACACATACTAGGGACAATTTAGACAGGATCCAATTCACCTGCCTGCATGTGTTTGGAGTGTTGGAGGAAACTGGAGTACCCAGAGGAAAACCACGCAGGCACAGGAGAACATGCAAACTCCAGGCAGGTGGTGCCATGGCTGGGATTCGAACCAACGACCCCAGTACTGCCAGGTGGAAGTGCTAACCATTTACCAGAACCATTTAACCAAAAACTTCTTTACGTGTCTATGTTGCTGAATTCCTACCTTGAATATGTCATCCATCTTCTGGTTCAGTATCCTATTTATTTTCTAATCAAATAGTTTATTCCCTTTGGTTTCCTGTTCGTAAGACCAGTGGCTGCTATGCCTCCTATTCCCCCAGCCACTGGTCTTGGCACATCCCTTCTGTAGTTCTCCTAGAAGCATGAGGACAGATTAGAGGAACTGAATTTATTCTCTCTTGATAAGAGGAGATTAAGGGGGGACATGATCTCCATGTATAATACATAAGGGGGGATATGATCACCATGTATAATACATAAGGGGGATATGATCTCCATGTATAATACATAAGGGGGGATATGATCTCCATGTATAATACATAAGGGGGATATGATCTCCATGTATAATACATAAGGGGGGATATGATCTCCATGTATAATACATAAGGGGGATATGATCTCCATGTATAATACATAAGGGGGATATGATCTCCATGTATAATACATAAGGGGGGATATGATCTCCATGTATAATACATAAGGGGGGATATGATCTCCATGTATAATACATAAGGGGGGGGGATATGATCTCCATGTATAATACATAAGGGGGATATGATCTCTATGTATAATACATAAGGGGGGATATGATCTCCATGTATAATACATAAGGGGGGATATGATCTCCATGTATAATACATAAGGGGGATATGATCTCCATGTATAATACATAAGGGGGGATATGATCCCCATGTATAATACATAAGGGGGATATGATCTCCATGTATAATACATAAGGGGGGATATGATCTCCATGTATAATACATAAGGGGGGATATGATCTCCATGTATAATACATAAGGGGGTTATGATCTCCATGTATAAATACATCAGTGGTTCATATAGTGAACTCTGTGTAGAGCTATTCCCCCTGAGGTCATCACAGAGGACAAGGGGGTGCTCTTTACGTCTGGAGGAAAATAAATTTAATCTCCAAACACAGAAAGGTTTCTTCACAGTGAGAGCTGTGAAAATGTGGAATAGACTCCCTCAGGAGTTGGTTCTGGCCAGCTCAGTGGATTGCTGTAGGAAAGTCCTGGATTCTTTCTTGGATACACAGAATATAACTGGATATAACATTTATAGGCAAAGTTGATCCGTGAAATAACCGATTGCCTCTCGGGGGATCAGGAAGGAATTTTTTTTTCCCTGCAGGAGCAAATTAGATCATGCATTGCTGGGTTATTTTGCCTTCCTCTGGATCAACTGTGGGTGTAGGATTATAACTTTTTTTTTTTTCTATGGTTGAACCGGATGGACTTTTGTCTTTTTTCAGCCAGACTAACTATGTAGCTATGTAATTTGTGGTGGACGGACCGAGACTCTCAGACACATTCAACATGTACAGGCCTAGTGTACCCGCCCACATTCACTACAATTCCCTTTGATGATGGGAACTGTAGTTTCCTTTTACTGCAAAGAGGAAAGGATGCTGTTATCCTTTAATTACAAAGATGAGGTCATGAAAATTCAATCTGACTTTTCTCCTGGTAATGGTAAGGATTTTCAAAATTTTAATAACTGTTTAGTGTTTTGTGTAGGGAGGTTTTCCCAAGGGTGATTTTTTGTTGCCTATCCCAGAGGAATGCACAGAACAGGTAAGTATAAGTCTGTTTATTTAATTTTGTTTTTTTTCAGTTACAATCACTTAAATGTATCACATGTTAACACAGCAAATCCAACCTCTGCTCAGACTTGAATCTCGGCCAACGCCATCTCTCACAGTGTATTGTATTCTCTCCATGGTACTTTAGGTTGGACCCAGCATTGATTCGTCCAGGTCGTGTGGATGTAAAGCAGTATGTAGGACATTGCACGCGGTGGCAGCTGGCACAGATGTTCCTGCGCTTCTACCCAGATCAGACACACCACACACCGCAGAGGAGTTTTCAGACTCGGTTCTGTCGGCCTCAGACAAGATCAGCGCGGCCCAGGTCCAGGGTCACTTTATGCTGCACAAGAATGATCCAAGGGCTGCTATAGAGAACGTCAGCTCCATAGCCACATGATGGGTCGTTTCCTTTGAAGAAGATCTGTATTGTTCCAAATAATTCAGTTATCACCCGGTCTTCATTCCGTAACAGCTTCGGGAGGATTTGAACAAGCCAAGAGACTGAAGCCCTCTTTTATAGCGGTGTTGGTTGCTTTGCAGACTTCAGCCTTCACCTAAAAATTGTGCCAAGCTCACCATCTTTTCTGGTTAGGAAAAAAGAAAGAAAAATCTATTTTTCTTGCCTCATAATGAGGTTTTATTTGTAAGATGGGATGTGAAATTATTAAATAAAACCCATTTCTTATTATTGAGATTCTGTCTGTGTCACGACCTGACGCTGTGAAACGGCATTTGAATGCATGTTTATGTAAGACTGACCGTCAGATCTTTTTTTCATGGTAATTTGGTTCTAAAGGTTGAAGGTTTTTTTTTTTTTTTCACCTTTTAGACAAAAATAATAAATGCACATTTTTTGGCTGATAAAAAAAATGTGCATTTATTATTTTTGTCTGCAGGAGCCTGGAAAGCCTTGCACCAGCGATCAGTAGAGTGCTGATAACATGCAGATCTCCTGCAGACCTATCAGAATGTCTGCTTGCCATACAGAATGTACAATCAAGCAGATATTACGACAGGAAGCTTGAATGAACTACAAGCCCACAGCCGCTAAGGCTGCTGAGAGTTGCAGTTCATTCATTCATGGACGTCCGTGAATGAATGATGCAGCCATGTAGGCGGAGCCCTACAAAGCCACACTGTTTTCGAATTTGACAGATAATACGAGGAGACGTCTCCCTGTACTAATTGTCAGAGGGTGGTGGTGGGGGTCGGCTTGCGCGGCTGCAGCTATGGGAACATGTTCCACACTAAAAATGGATGTTATATGTTCCCATAGCTGCAGCCCTCTTCCTGACATCATTGCTTACTACTTGTGAAATCTGTGAATGATCACAGAGGTCACATGGTACAAAGCTATTCACAACAGCCTTGTACCATGTGACAAGCTGTGACCAATCACAGCTCACACAGTATTTCTCAATGGATGCAAGAATGCAGCCAGAGTGGAGAAATGATTGCTTTTACGCCCATAAAAGCTGTAAAAGCTGTCAGTGTGTAAAAAAAAAAAAAAAAAAAAAAAAAATCTTCATCACCTCCCACAAGTAGTGAAGGGAAAAAAAATTCATCACATATGGCCTGCTTAACATTGTCCCCAGTTAGCCCCAGTTCACACTGCTGTGACTTATCATGCGGCTTGCGACACAAAAAGTCAAAATGCATTCATTTTCAATTAATTTTCAGCAACAAAAAAAGGTTCCTGCACTATTTTTCTGTGATTTTGGTGCAACTTGAGTGCCTTAGACTGCAATGTTAAATCACAAAAGTCACGAGGAAATCCCAAGCAAGTCATACAATTTTGGGGTCACAGCACTGTAAATCGAGCCCCACGTTGGGCACGAGCTAAAATGGTCGTGAGAACCACAATGGGGTGCAGGGTAGGATTTCTGCTGCTGTTCCTAATTTTTTGAGAAATGATTTGCACATGCACGCCGGAAAATGATCACACTGACAACGGTGCAGTATAACCACGTCCTCATCTCTGCTTATTGCAGGGCGGTGCTTAACCTTTTATACATAGAAAACAATAGAGTATACGTCATTATTATGTAATATGATCATAGTCTAAAAAGCTCATTTTGGTTGGCTGAAATATAGAAAGAAGGCAAAAACTTGAAACTTGTCGCCGTTATCTCTTCATTCCCTCACATATTCAAGGCCGTAACTGCAAGATCCTCACAGCTCGATGGGAGGGGTTGAGAACATCGCTGAACAAACAAGTTAAGGAGGACTGCAAAGCCCAGCAGACAAAATATATACGCACAACACATATATTTAGAAATATAAAAAATATATAAAAGTAAATATGTATAAAATGTATATATATTCAGGAGGAAACCGAAAAGGCATTTTACCAAATCCATCACAGTAGTACAGTGTCACTATGGTGACACTGTACTGCTAGGGTGACCGTATGTAAAAAAAAACAAACAAATAAGATAAAAAAAATAAACATGCAAAAAAAATGTTTAAAAAATTATAATTTTTGGTTATAAACTAATTTGTTTTTTTTTTTTTTTTTTTTTTTACTAAAAAGATAGCTGAATACATTTGGCCAAGATTTATGAAGAAAGATTATTTATTTGCAAAATTTTATAAGGAAAACACTTTTTTTTTTTTTTCAGAATGTTTGGACTTTTTCATTGATATAGCAAAAAAGTTTTATCTGTCTCAACAAAATGCTAAAAATTTCATATGGCTACAGTGTTGCATGACAGCGCAATTGTCATTCAAGTGTGATAGCGCTGAAAATTGGCCTGGACAGGAAGGGGGTGAAAGTGTCCGGACTTGAAGTGGTTAATGCAGATAAGGCACTAAGTGGGATTAATTACCACAATCAGTCATAGTCATGTTGTAGTCCTCTGAATCACTCTGGTCCTAAACAAACACATAGAAATAAATTAAAATTGCTTCTAAAGCTTTTGTTTTTGTTTGTTTTATTAATGTCAAAATCACCTTCTCTGTGCAATGGTTTTGCACAGAGCAGTCTCAATCCTCTTCTGGGGTCCCCCACTGATGAAGTGCAGAGTCTATGGAACCACCTTGTTTGTGTTCTCCAGGGCTCTTTTAGGTAGAGATGGATTGTGCTGCAGATGATGATTCCCAGGTTGAGGTTCTCTAAATCTTTCTGGTTGTAAGCAAACATATAAAAATGTATTGAAGATAAAAAATAAACATTGATCCCAGGTGGACTAAAGGAATAAATGTTGATTTTGATTTAAACCGTTTTGCAAGTTCTGCTGTTCCTACTCCTTTCCCCCCTACTCTGCCACTAATGCAAAAGTGTTCTTTTGGCGGGGGAGTGGGTACCTAGTTTTGACAAGTAACCGCTCCCACTTCTGCTGGCATTGCCTGAGTGATCCCAGAAGAAATGTGTCCTCCTCCTCACTACCTGCAGTCTCCTGGGATACGTCAAAGGTCCTAAGAAGCTGCAGGACCGTTCACAGATCACAGTGCAGCTCATGCATGCGTGCTGGGGAGCCAGCTGTGAAGCCACAAGGAGTCACAGGCAACTTAACACAGTCAATATGGCAGCTCTAGTGATTCGAAGGCCAGAAAAGAACATGCCCAGGTGAGGACAGTGCTGGATCCCTGGACAGGTGTGTATCTGCTTTTAAAACTTGTCAGGTGCAGTATTTGCAGTTGCTGATTTTTTTTTTTTTTTATGGCCGTAGATCCTCTTTGAGAAGTTTACAAACTATAAGCCCCATCTCTTTATTACATACCATACCACACCACACCGCTTTTCTGCACTTTGGGTGAACAGGTCCTGCTGTCTGTCCTCCATAAAGGCGTACGGAGATCTTTGGAGCTTGCTACACTAGGGCGGCCAGTGGTTTATCACTTGTCTGGCCAACTTTGACCATCCATCTCCTAATGACAGTGGCTGTCGTGTAAAGAAGGATGGGATGACCACGCCCATGGGTAAACCATTCTTTAGGCGCACAGATCCTGCTGTCTATCCTCCATAAAGAGGTACACCGTCTTCCCCATTTTAGAGTCGAGCGTGCACACACACAGATGGGACAGCAGTAAAGAACTTTGTAGTATTTTCAGGGGGACTTTACTAAAAATGGAGAAGACAGAATCTGGAGCCACTGAGCATGGCAACCACACAGTTTCTAGTGTCCATTTCAAACCTTCACTCAACAAGCTGAAGTGAGAAGCTGATTGCTTACGATGCACAATTACTTCGGATTCTTTTTCTTTTGAATTTTGGATAGAGTAAGGAAAGGTTATAAGCCTTGTCAGGTTATTCTGCCATCTGTATCCCATTGAAGAGATAACACCTATGCTAACTAACCTTTGTAAGAAAGATGGCTATTGTTACCTATTTTCCGGTCCGGTCACTTTGTTAGCCATTGGAGCGCTTTTTCCTTGCCCTTGCAGCCACCGCTAGCTGCCACAGGAGAGCTCACATGACCTGCCCAGCCTAAAAATAAGTCTCTTTCTTGCATAGGTATTAGCAGAGCGGGAAGGCTAGTTAGGTGTAAGCTAGAATTTCACTTTAACCACTTCAAGTCCTGTATGGGGCATGGCAGTGATCAGGATACTGGTATGGCGTATGAGGTGATCAAGATGCTGGCATGGTGTATGGCGGTAATGAGGGCACTGGTATGGTGGTGATAAGGGTTCTGGTATGGATGATCAGGATGTTGGTATGGCGGTAATGAGGACACTGGAATGGCGATGATCAGGGTGGTAGTATGAGGTAATCAGGGCTCTGGTATGGGGTATGGCGGTGATAAGGACGCTGGTATGGTGGTGATCAGAACACTAGAATGGGGTATGGTGGTGATCAGGATACTGAATATGGAGTATGGTGGTGATGAGGATATTGGTTATGGGTGTATGGTGGTCATGGGTGGTATGGGGTGATGAGGATACTGGTATGTTTGTATGTGTGATGGTGATCAGGATGCTGGATATGGTGTATGGTGGTATGGATCTTCTATTTACATGTATGTGTGTGTATGGTTATGGATACAGGATGGGGTGTATGGTGGTATGGTGTATGGTGGTGAGATCAGGACGCTGGTATGGTGTATGGTGGTGATCAGGGACGCTGGTATGGTGTTATGGTGGGTGAGCAGGACGCTGGTATGGTTTGGTGATCAGGACGCTGGTATGGTGTATGGGGTGATAGGAGATCCGGACGCTGGTATGTGTTGTATGGTGGTGATCAGGACGCTGGTATGGTGTATGGAGTATGGTGGTGATCAGGATGCTGGTGTGGGGTATGGTGGTCATCAGGACGCTGGTACTTGTATGGTGGTGATCCCTGACACTGGTATTGGTGTTATGGTGGTGATCAGGTACTGGTATGGAGTATGGTGGTGAGGATCAGGACGGTGGTATGGTGGACGATTGGTATGTTATTTTGTATCAGTGATGGAAGGA